GGCTGCGTGCTGAATGGATATATGAGTACATACATGCAGCCGCACCTACCGGAGCGGTTATTTGCAATACGCCTACGGGAAACTCGTCCGAAATTGCTTTTCAAGAACGAAGGCTTTTCTTCGCAGTTTTGGACCGTTTCACTTCGTTTTTTCGCCATTTTCCCCACTAAGCAGCGCCCTGCGAGCATTTAGGCTGAGTACCAAATTATCGTGCCAACTGCCTTTAATGCTGTGGACACGAAGGAGCAATGACCGAGTATCCGTCGGTGCCGGCCGCTAATGTTTTAAGAAAGCGTACGACAATAGGAGGCTAGGTGTTGCCTAAACACAGTCTGGTATCGAGTACCAGCTGCTAGTGTTTCGAAAGTATTGAAGAGTAGGATGTGTCCTTAGACGACGCCTACGCTCTTATTATCCTGTACTTTTTGAAAACGCGACTGGCGGAAATCTATATCCTTTTACGGCGCTTTGTTCCTGCTCTGGTCTGATCTATCGCATGAAATTCCAACGAGTTTCTGGTAAGCTGAGGAGGACATCTGGATTTTCGATGTTTTTTAGTCATTTCGTGCAAAAATCAACTCGCCCCTGCCTCCCGACCCTAGCTTTTCTATGGCTTATCACGTGAAGAGTGTTTGAGCTAGTTGCTTGTTCCGGTTTTTTTGTAATATGGAGCAGGATTAGTGGATAAGGTCTCCCTTCGGTAGCGAAGACTAGTTTTCAATAAGGAACCGCTTTTGAAGTTGAGTGATATGGAATGTGGTCCACAACAGACAGTGAGTTCTCTGTATAGTGGCTATTTTTCATCCCGGGACCTCCAATGCATAACTGGCGAGACCTCTTATGTTTGCGTATAAATAACTTCATAAGCTATTTTCGTCCATTACTTTCAATGCGTATTAGCGACGATGTTGGTAATAAATGTATGAGCACGTTCCACAAATCGATGAAACCGGCCACATAAACCTGCGAAGAATTCGCTAAGGCGTTTCCATTGCAACTTATGCTTCCCATGTTGGTAGAACTTGTTGAATTTTAGGAAGGAAGTTGAGTTACAAAGCCGTCAAGTCTGGTATTACCGTT